AGCTCAGTCCCACGCACAAGGGGGAAAAGCTCAAATTATTGAGCGCTCAAAATATTGAGCGTGTGACGTCAGAGGCTCCCATAGGCGTAATGCTGAGGGCTCAAAAAATTGAGCCGTTTCAGGAACACGTTTTGCAAAAGCAACTCGCAACACCTAGGGAGAAATGGCAACACCCTAGGAGAATCACTAATGATGCAAAACAGATTAGGCTTTCATATTTTTCACTGCTCAAGCTTCAATGATTGGGGGAACACCAATTTCTAGGTCGAAATCTTACGGCATACCAGGATGACTTAAAAACAGGCCAATATTTATGTCGAAATAAAAGTTATTTTTTGTCCATTCACGTTTTTTACTAGGGTTCTGTTGGAAAGAGCATTTTTCATACTACCCAGAATGATTGCGATTCAATTTCACATTACCCATATCGGAGAATATTTTTCATTTGGCGGCGCCGTTTGTTTATTTCGTCGCGACGTCTCCGGTCGCGTGGTTGTCGTCGTCCTTGTGTTGAGGGTAAGTTTTTATCGTTTTAGTTGTACTTAGATGTTAAAAGGTACACTGAAAAGTTTGAATATGCTGTGATTTTAAATTCGGAAACACGTAAACGTCAATCAATTCACGTTTTCCTCGATTTGCGTGCAGATAAGTAACTGTCGACGAAAGTGGCGCCATCCGATATGATGTTTTGAAGGAAGGAGACACAACATATTTACGTGAAAATTGTTGTTTTTTAGTGGTCTAAGTGCTGCAAAGAGGCTGTGAATGTTTTCTTCACACAATTTTTCATTAGTTATGATGAGGTAAAAGGTAGTTTCAGTCTTAACTTTCATATAAATGACATTAAAACATATGATAGTCCACTGCTATCAGTGATTGAGTACCTTGATATTTGGCATTTCTTATTAATTTGAATGTATTCTCTATCCATATGTCCTGATAGTAAGTGACAATACTCTGCCAATATGTTTCCATAGTTTTCACATTCATTTTCCAGTCCTTTACATAACATCACAATTTATAATCAACAAAACTCAACTCCTTCATTACTTCACAACACTGACAGCATGACAGACTGACAGTCAACTATTGTGTGGGTGAATGCTGAAACAGGATAGCCACTTTGCTGACTGGCTCGCTCATATGAAATAAGATAAAAATTATCCTTTATATCATTTCCATCTGGAGGATCGGAGTCAACGGAAAAGGAAGGCCACTTTCAAGCCTCAAGGTCTAGGCCGCCAGACGCCAGTGGGCAGTCACCACCAAATTTATAATCGATTAATTCATTATTATACTTTGAGACCCTTAGGTCACTGGATCAGCATCACATTTACAGTTTCAATATAGTAAAGGTTTTTATTTGTATGATGTGAAATATTTTCCTGAATCAGAATTTAATTATCCCTAGGTACCTGGTAGAGGTTTTGGATTTAATGCTCATTGTTGGTGTGCAGTCAGGATTTTTTGACAGGTCCAGATAGGGAATCCTGAGCAATTTTATAGTAAAGTGGTCTCCTTATAATCACCACACATTTTATCAAAAGCATTTGCAGAATTCATTCAATGAAGAATTTTATCAATGTTGCACCCATTTCTTAGACGACCTAGGCTGCATCTTTTTTTTAGTTCCTGTTGTATGACATATTTTCCGTTTTGTTCCACTGCATAAAGAAAAAAATCGTTTGAGATCACAAAACAGCTTTTCTTTTTCTGGCAGGTCTGCACAACCAAGCGGTCGCTGGCAAGGACGTCGGCCGTCTCTGTGGGTAAGGTCATCTGCTCAGCCTTTGTGGAGATCAGCAAGACGTCACTAAGATGAAGACTTCGCTGGAGCAGAAGCCGCTGACCCGTGTCCGATCGGGCAGGTCATGCTCGACGGCACGAGCCACAACTCGAACGACTCGGTGACATCAACAACATGGTGGAGCAGGTGAATGAGTTTGGCGACGTGTTGTGCGACTGCAAGAAGGGTTGTCTGCGTGTTCTGGCCGGCGGAGCGGCGACGCTGCGCAGTCTGTGCTGGCGGTGAGCAGCTGGCCGTGGTGACCGCGCGCGCCCACATGCGCCGACAACCTGTGCGGCTTCGACGGCCCGGGACAGCCCGATGCCGCCCACTATGCGACGCCGACCGCGCACTGTCCGCACGGCCACATGGAGGTGTGCCCGCGCCTTTTGCCCGCACGCCGCTACCTCGCAGCTGGTCTGCAACCACGCCGTCGCCGCCTGTAGCCCGATAACAAAACGGCTGTCTGATAATGCCGCGTGTTCTTTGTGATGTTGCTACTGTGATCGTTGCTACTGCTGGTCTGAGACTCGACGTTTCCATTCGTCTATTTGATAATGATAAGCTTAGTCCGAGCTTAGGTCGTTTATATCATTTGTTATATGGCATATTTTGGATCAAAGCAGTACGACACTGCCTCCTGCTTTTGTGATGTATGCTGGCAAGACGCAGGTTCCGGTCGCAGGTCACCCGGACCCGGTTCCAATGTGGTCGGGCTGGCATGCGATAATGTGATGTTGTTTTGCTCGTCTCTGTGTTCCACACTTGATGATGTTTGTGAATCTAACCCACATTGTATAGTATTTTTGTTTGTTTGCGGCCGATGGCCTTGTAAGTTGTAACCGTGGCAATACAGTTTTTCCTGCGATAATTCTCCAATATTCAAGGGTGGGTGGATATCTCTGTATTCACGTATTCCTTTCTCCCAGTACAGTCAGAGAATATCAATTACAGTATTCATACGGATTATTCAAGCCTTGTATAATTATTTGAGGTGTGCCGAATCCGAAAGACCGATAAAACTACTAGCGGAAAATGTGACATGATGTCATGGGTTTGTGAAAAGTTTAGGTACCACGTAGCATTCAACTTCCTGCATTTCTGTTTCAACTCAGTTTAACGTATTTCAACGAACATAACATCAAAAATGGCAGCCAGTACCGGCTTCACCTGTCACGGAGAACGCTCAAAAAATTGAGTGTAGATGCTGGCCGGCACTCAATTTTTTGAGCGCCAGCTGACTGTCGTCTGTCGTGGCGCTCAATTTTTTGAGTATCGCGGTCCCGAACGACAAGTGGCGCTCAAAAAGTTGAGCGTCTTTAGGGCATTTTCTTTCCGAAAACACCGATATAAATTATCACGGCGAGTGTTCGAGAAGAAACCTTGTTGCTCTCTCTTGCCATTGATACCTTATTTGGATACGATATTTGCCGTAGTGTGACGCTAAAGGCATTGTAAAATACCATCGTTTCGCCTATTCCTTCATAATGGGGCCCGCTCAATTTTTTGAGCGCTCAATTTTTTGAGCTTTTCCCCCTTGTGCGTGGGACTGAGCTTGAGCTGATGCATACCGATTGTTTTATTCACAGGCTTTGACTTGCTTGTGACTGCCATCTGTATTTCAACATGGATGCTTCAGGATACCAGAAGAAAAAGCGTGTGCAAATAGTATTTTCATCTGGTGAGTAAATTCATCCGTATGGCCCCCATTGCCTCCACCTTCCCATATCTGATAACTTCAACTTGTATTCATGTTGTCCGCACTCAGTACCTTGTTCTGCCTGTCTCCGTGCACTGCACACCACATATTAGTTGTGTGCCCCCATTCAGTTGGTCTTTTCATTGTCTTTTCCTCTGTGACTGTGATCTGCCCTGTTCAGTGGATGTGATGGGCGGGCCACATTCCTACATAGCATTATTCATTTCAATTTGGATAGGTTGAGGTACATTTACCAGTTACGTTTGCCTGTCCCGTAGCTCAGTTGGTAGAGCATTGAACTCCCGGTAGTGAGAGCCCGGGTTCAAGACGCTCCGGTGCAGTGTCCCAAAATTGAGTTTTGTCTTGGGTGTCAGAGGGGAAAATTACCCACCAAAAAGAGGGGGGAGAGTGGAAAACTGCTGATTCGATTAGATCAAAAAGGAGTGAGAAATGACAAAAAGCATGCATTTTATTCTAGGGTGTAGAATGTTTGATGCTAACTGGGCATCCACACAACTGTCTTTCTATAGGTAAAAAATCTACGTTTTCTTGGTTGGGACTTGGGAGTGGAAAATTGTTCTTAAAAATGGTGGTGAGAGTGGAAAATGAATTTCATTTGGATGTCGTTTCCCACCCAAATAGACAAATTTTGGGACATTGCTCCGGTGCTCGATATTAGAGACTCCTGACGGGGATGGTCTGTGGTTGGTGGGAGCAGCCGCAGCCAGTTGAAAGTCAGTTGAGTGGGACAGGCCGTGTCCGGCTTTGGAGGGCACGTTAAACTTTGGCATCTAAATTCTCCCATTACCCAGAATTGCGCGATCCGACGGTAGGGTCGGGGTCCGCAACAAGCTCTGCTTAGCGTGGGTTCCGGCTCTGACAATCCGTCCATTCAAACATTGAGCTAAATTTATATAAAAAACATGCCACAGTACACGGGACATGATGGTGTGCCACTCTGACTGTGCTCCATACCCAGGTACCTCCTCCGCATTGGCTGCTGCATGACTACAACTGTACTAGGTACTCTATCTAACCTTCCCAATGACATTCTGCTTTACTATGCATTGCTGCTTTTGTTACGTCACCTACCTTGGAACCTAGTTGAATGAAATATTCTTTTGGTATTTGGAAAATGGAGATGTGAGTGAATGATGTTTCACTTTGGAAGTCAATTTCAATGTAAAAGAATTCATACATTTTTCTAATCAACTCAAATGACCAGTTCTTTGCAGCAGATCTTACAAATCTATATCCACACATTGAGGGTGAATAATCCTACTGATGTCAAAGAAGGTCACTAGTTCATTTGGAATTATGACTCACTGTTTATTTTTCAGCATACCTTCGACCTGTAACCAGGCAACATAATTGTCAATCCTACATGGATGCGCCCTGCTCCTTGCTCTGCAGACTGACTGTGTGACCTGCATCTGTTACAGATGACGAGGGTGACAGTGCCGCCGACAGTGAGGAGGACATGGTCACCCATTTCCCGGTGTCTGTGCCTCCGGGACAGGCCACCAACGGCAGGGTGCCTGTGGTCCTAGGTGAGTGGGGCTAATGCTGATCATAGGTCACTTTGCGTGCCTGGTTGGATGGGGGGGGGGGGGGGGGCAGAGCAGGGTATCGGGAGTGAGAGAGGACAGCTGGTCAGTGTTGGGCGGCAGGAGTCTGATGAGGGAGGATAGGAGCGATAATCAGTGTGGATTGGCTCTGCAGCTGGTGTACTCGTAATGACTATAAGAGGGTTTAAAGGCCGGATGCAGGGCGTGCCGCGGTTGCATTGCAGACCCGGATGAAGTACGGTAGTTTGCAGTCACTGGGGCACCTCTAAATGGCCTGATCACTGTCAAGTGGTTACTGCCTACTGGCATGGCTTAGTCGGACGGTACTGTCTTGCGGTCCCACCGTGACACGCGACAAACGCCCTAGTCTGGGTGGGGAGTCCGGGCGGTCGGCGCAGCGGCGCCATCTGCTTCCAAGTGCGGCTGAACTCTTTCCAGCTCGAGTTTGGGGAGTTGGAGAGTTGAAATATTAAGGGTATATCTGCTAACTTCAACCTGCTAACAACTCATTAGCAAATCTAATTTCCTTTCCTTACAAATTGACTCTTGCTATTTTACCGTTAACGCAATGTGAACTTGTTAGAAGCTGGTCCCAAGTTATGGCACCCTACCTTCCAATGTTTTTTCTTCCTTCCTATGTACATTTGATCACGCTTTCTTCTGGAATATCATGCGTGCATGCAAACAGACATACATGTTAACCCGGCGGCCGCTGGGCCGCCCCGCGCCACCCGCCGGCCGCGGGGAGGGGGGGGGGGCATATACTCGTAGTTGCCCCGCCTTTACTTCTGCGACGATATCGTCGCAATGCGAAGAGACAGAGAAGCGAAACTTCGCACACCTCTTCCTGAATACCTAGCCGAGGTTGTGTCCAAATTTGGTGTCGATTCCATTTGAAATGACGTCACAGTGACGTCAGAAATCAAATTATAGATTTGCGACTCTCAGTTTCCTCACGATCTATCCGATATATGAAACCGAATATAAAGAACCAATTATTGGTCAAGAGCTAGTTGGAAGTGTACTTAGATGTTTTAGGATGACAGCGGGTACTGTCTAGTTCATTTACAGTTGAGTACCATGCTCAGCGATATCAGAAACGGTCCATATCGGAAAACGACAAAACTTTATGACGTCACTATGACGTCATCTTAAGAGCTACAACCACCAAACTTTCTCAAACATTGCGTAGATATTCATTTGAAGCAAAGTTTCACGGTCGTAGCTCATCAGGTTTCAGAGATATTCCACTAAACGTAAAGGGGCGGGGGGGGGGGCACTTTATGCCCTTCCCCCAGCGGCGGCTCGGGAGTTAACGAATATGATCTGAGTCTGATTTATACCAATGGCTGGACTCCAGTTTTTTACCTTCGGCTCTCGGCCTCTGCGTCGGAACAAATCCAACAAGACACGCATTTTGTAATGTCCGATACTCCTATGCTAATCGACAATCAATAAAGGCGTGCTTGGATACACGGCGGATAAGGTCACCGTTCCCGAAATTGCCAATCAACTGGTTATGATCGCCGAATGATTATCAGATAACTAATACCTAAATGATTTTTCAGTTAAGTAATGTGATGAGAACTTCAATTTGGACATCGTTTGATAATCTGTATTACAATTATGCTTCTTACAACAGAAGTGGGAGGTGCGAACCTGTTCATGCTTTGTTAACTTTATGAACTTCTTTGGTGCAAACCTTGGCGGTTCATAAGTTTTTCTCGGACTGTTTGATCGGGCGCTCTGTTCTGTCTGCCTATATAGAACTGTATGTAAAATATATAGCACCTATTTAAAATAGAGCTGCTCTGCCCCGCAGGGGTACTCGTGTGTATAGTCTCTCTTGAAAGTATCGCGTCATGGGCTGCGGCGGCTCGGCGAACTATTCCCTTCAGTTTGAGGACCCCAGCAGTAAGGCCATGGCCTGTATCATAAAAGTACGCTGTAACACGATTCTACGCCGGCGGTAGGAGGAAAACTGCTATATGACGCAGGCACCAGCGGCTGACAACTGGGTGAAAACAGGTGGAGGCCGGCCAAAGGTCATGCTCGTATCGCTCGCCTTGACCCCGTCCCCCGCCTCAGGCGGATACCGGCGCCGCCTGGGCTCACCAGCCGGGCGCTCATTGGTCTGCCTTAGTGGGCGCCAATCACTCGTGCGCATGCAACGCGAAAAATCACAACGGAGCAAAGTTCCGTCATAGCCCTTCTGTGAAGAGGCCTTCTGAACGACGTAAAACTTGTCATGAGGGAGGGGGGGGGGGCAACCTGGCATCAAATGGGGCTTTTAAAAAGAAGACGGCTGAACGGTGAATATTCTTTTTTGGTGCCGTTCACTAAGCGGCTCATTCAAAAGAGAGAACTTCAAGTAGGTATATGACTATAATTGGCTAGAGAGCGAATTGACAAATTGGCTGGAGAGATAATTTTTGTGATTTGAATCCGCTCGCGGGTGCATCTGCATCCACGGATGCATTCTGTTAGCGGGCGCAACTGATGATTTTGTTTTGTTTTGTATTCGTCCACGAATTTCCGGATTTTACCAAAAACCTGTGACAGTTGTGCTGATGACAGGTCAAATTGTTAACTTTGCAATGAAACAATCTCAACAAATCCTCTGCGAGTAGGGTGGCTTCCGTTGACCACATGCCTACTCCCATCACAAGTTACCGGACGGCGACTGCCACCTCCCCCTATCCCTCCGCAGTCCGCAACCACTCCCCTCGGCCCGGCCCGCGGCGCTGGCTGCCTCCGCGTCTCAGGCTTCGGTCAGTGCTTCCAGCGGCTCTCAAACTTTTCCGCCCAGCCGCGGCTGGGACGGGTGGCGCCTTCCCTCAGAGTCGCGATACTTTCAAGAGAGACTATACCGCTGCACCTGCCATTTGCCCTGTCTCCTATCGTCCCTACCGACACTCCCGATCTCCCGTGTATTTTCCCGTGCCAGTGGACCTCGATGGTAGGTGCGCGACCCGGTCGTTCATTACTGCTGATCTCGACCGAGGCTCGACCGGCGGTATTTCGGGCGGGCGGGCCGGCCTTTTTCCTCCCCGAGGTCGCCCATAGTCGATCGGTATTGCGGCTCTCGACGTCGTGTCATCGATGCGCTCGATGCGGATTTGGGTGCAATATTCTGCCTCCGGGCGTACAGGTCATGTGAAAAGGCGCGGTGGAGAACGGTGCTGCCGATCGTCGGCGCGGTATATGAGGTCTCGGCAGTTCAGGCGCCAGTTGACTGTAAGCAGGAGCGGGGTGATTTAGTGGAGGGCCAACTCTTCAAACGCTAGATGGGGATCCGGATGCAATATGATCTGTCCGACTTTCAGATCTTCTGTACGTTAAATGGTAATTGACTTCCGCGCCGGTACCTTTGGCCAGAGTCCCGTCTCCTGGTTCGATCGGTTTCTATGATACAGAAGTGAGGGGGACTGTATGGATGTTCCCATTATCGCGTCAATAGGAACATCCATCTTTTCGCGGCTGCCTTGGTTCTGTGCCATTTCCTTTTTGATTCGCATGGGTGCCGATGACCGACGCCTATGAATGGGCGCAAAATGACCTCGCAGTCGGCGCGCCCCTAACCCCCAACACCCGCACAGACCAACGAGCATCAGCACCATCCGCTGATTCCCGGCGTCCTGCGGTCAGTGGTCACAACATAATCGTACTATTTCGTCATCTCCTACTGTGCAATGTGCATGGAGAGCTGCAATAGACACCGTGTCCTGAGCGGGGGACGGGGGCTGGGGAGGAGTCGTGGTCATGTCCCCGCCCGCCTGCATGCTCCCGGTGTGTGTCAGTATGTCAGTGTCGCCGGCGCGGGTGCGGGCGCCGCGGACGTGTCGCCTCGTCAGTCGGCCGGCTGTGGTGGTGGTGGTGCAGCCAGCCATGCTGCGGACGCGTGTGCTGGTGCGCTGTCCGCGCTGGTGTCCGGTGTCCGCGGTCACCCTGACCTCACCGGCCAACTCGGCCGAGTCGCCGCCGCCGCCGCCGCCTCCCGACCCGTCAGAGACACTGTCAGACGATGTCTGCGAGTCGCCGCCGCCGCTGCCGCCTCCCGAACCGCCCTCGGGACTGCCTGCTGCTCCGGGAGCGCCGCCGGTCCCCGTGACACCGACCCACCATTGTCCGCCGTCCTCTCCGCCGCTGCCGCCCCTCTCCGACGAGAGTCTGCCGTCTATATCGTCATCCTCGCCCCCGCCGCGATGTCCGGACCTGAGGTCTTATGCGCACACTTCCTCGTCGCCTCCGATGATCTTTTACGCCCCGCCTCCGCCCGCCTCTCCGCCTCTGATCGTCTCCTCTTCGCCTTCTCCACCTCCCTCCTCCCCGCCTCTTATTATCTCCTCTTCTCCTCCTCACGCTGCCTCTCCGCCCTCTCCGCCGCCTACCTCTCCACCCTGTTCTCCCTGTTCGTGTCATCCACTCCTCGGCGATTCGGTGCCCCTGTCACGCTCCTGCTCCCTCCGCGTGCTCTCCTCTTCTCCTCCTCCCTCGGGTCTCTCACCTCCGTCACTCTCTCTGCCGTCCTCGCCTCCTTCACACTCTCTCCCATCCACTCCTCCCGTGCTGATGTCGCACGCGCCTCCGGGCAGTCCATGGCCGCCGCTGATCTACCTGTGCTCCTCGTCTCCAGAGGACAACATCAGCCATCTGCACGCGCTCCAGGAGGACATCCAGAGGATGCGGCAGCTGACGGCGGCCGGAGACCGCGGAGCACACAAGGTCAGTCGCTGGGGCGGGGCTGGTGGTGGCTGCGGGTGATGGGATGTGCCTCTGAGTGAGGTGGGCGTTCTGTTTGTTGGTGTCCTGGTGCTAGGGCTGCTTGTGGTGGTAATGGCACTGGTGTGGGGTGCTGTTGCGAGCTTCATGATGAACTTAAACTGGTTTTCAATTTGTAAACGTGGTGAACCTTATCGCTTGTGTTTTTATTCCGTTGGTGTTCGGAGATTGGCCATAGCTCTTGCTCATGGAACTGCGAGTCATCGGCTCTATGATATAAGACGATCCGTTCATACTTAACGAGCAGCAGAATGGACTTAGGTTGATTCACGTCAAACGCTTTTCTCCATTTAACCACAGGTCCCGACTACCCCTTCTGATCCCGCTGTTCCAACTAGCATCAACGTCCCTGGCGAGGCCAAATCGCTTTGTGTCGTTTTGTAGTAGCCGCCAGCGCACCGGTACTCAGTAAAACGCAGAGGAATGTGCGATACGGGTCGGTATTCAGAGTCATACCGTGGTTCCACTCTGCTGCACTGTTGCCGGCAGTGCACGCTCTATTGTGCACTGCGATGCACTAGCGGATATAGGAAGGCCGTGCTGGGCATTTGGGACATGCTCCCGGCTTTTGTAGTTTGCTCGGCCCCAGCTCTATTCGCGATAAACTATCAAATTCAATGCATGATGATTCTCGTCAAATCGTCGTGTTTATGGAAATGCAAACTTGCTTATCTGGATATCACTGCCTATAACATTTGAAAGACCGGCGGACTCATAGTTTCCTCTAAAGTGGCCCCTGGTTTTGCTATCGGCTATACTGAACGCGGTGCGGAACGCGCTCAACTGTACTGTGACATGAGATCAGCACGGACCTGACGCACGGAGCAGCGTGCACGGGACGTGCGGGGTGGCACAGAGGGCACCTGGTGTGGCAGTTCCGGTAGGAGAGAGATATGGGGACAGGTGTGGGTGATGTCTGCTCGGCGGAGCCCGCAGTTGAGAGGTGGGTCTGGTCATAACAGGGCGCCTGCGGTCAGGCAAATGACCAGTTAGTCGTTTGTTTTACGCATACTCATTACTCACCATAGGGGATGATATAGTGACTTTTCTTCTGACATCAAGGCTCTGAAGAGTCGGAAGAGTCTAGCCTCAACCTCTGTAGGGATTTCCCATGTGCCCTAATTTCCTATGTGTTTGGATTAGTGTCTGGCTCGTATAACCAAACAGTTAGCTATGATCGCAGAGCTGCGATCGTAGGACCAGTCAGCCGACCCTGACGAGGCCTTGCTACACCTCAATAGTCCGCCGATTGGGACCGAACCCGGCCGCCGCGCTGTGCGGTGCGGTGCGGGTGTGGGCCGCGGTCCCTGGCCACCTGTTGTTCCGCTGCCGGTATACCGGTGAGGCGGTCAGCGTGCGCGCGCCGGCCGGCCAGACGGCTCGGCGGCGCCGGCACCCCAGTGTGGGCCGGCGGCCGGCGGTGTCAGGGGTCAGTGCGGGACGCCGGCAGGAGCTCCGTGACGCCGTCGGACCAGGAGCCAGTCGAGGTTAGGTCGGCCGCTCACTTCTCAGTTCCCACCCTTGGCCATTTGCTGACCTGCCATTAAAACTAACTGCATATAGTTTTTCTTATAAAAAAAGCTAATGAGAAACTGATTTCTTTTTTTTAGGGGGGCGGTGGTCAAAATGTGAATGCCATTTGTGCCAATGTCCAATACTATGATTTCTAACATATAGTTATGCTAGTATTAGAGTCACAAACAGTATCAGTTCTTAAGAATAAAGATACAAACATAATCCATTGTGCAAGAGCGATCACATCGGGGCAGGGGTAGTGTTTTCAATGTCGACATCTTATTTTCTCGACTCATTGTAATGTTTTTTCCCTCTGCTGAATGGCAGGGCCTTGCTTTTCATCATTACTGTTTTCTTCGGCGAGTTTGTCGCATTGTCTTTCAGGAACCGTTCAGAGAGTAGGGGGTTACCATCAGAAAAACTTACGGGTTACCATCAGGAAAACTTACATGTCATTTAGTATTGAACCATATTGGGTCGCCTAACTCATGAAGTAATGTTCCACGCTGAAGATAGCATTGACGACTCACAATATCGCACTGGCGGATCCAGGCTTGCGTTTTGGGGGGGGGCCAACTCATGCAGGAGCCAAACCTAGGGTACCCCCAAATCCTGTTTTCTCATCGGATTTAGGCCACTTATTTTTCGTCACAGCCCTGACACTATGAATATTTTTTTTTTACTAAAAATAAAAATATATAAATGGTAGCCCACCCGACCCATGCCTTTATATTACTTTGCAAACACTTACCATTGCTTTTGTCGACCAGTTAACCCGCTTCGAGTCAGTGCTTGGGTCCCTTTGCGGGCCGGGAGGTGGTAAAACACCCCCTGTCTAACTCGGCTCCTGGGCCACGCACTGATTGAACTATGTTTCATTATCGTTTGGGGGAGGGGGCAAACGGGCCACTTTAGGCCTCTGGGAAGGGGGCATGACCCTCAATGCCCCCTCCCTGGATCCGCCAGTGTAAGAGACCATTGGAGCTGCAGTTGGGTACCTCAGACGTCAGGGTACGCCCTCAGATGTATAGGACTCGAGTGGAGACCTCTTATGCTATAGTGGACTGAAAGGACCCAAAGGAGCCCGTCTAGGGCTCCCGGAGATAGACGTGGGCCCTCAGGAGCCCGCCAGAGCCCCCAATAAGGGATAAGTGAGGGATACCAAGTGCCTGCAATTGCATATTGCATAAGCCATAACGTATCAGTGGCAGATCCAAGGGGGGCCACATGAGTCATGACCCCCTTGGTGCCCGGGGGCACCACAGGCCTGTCAGGGGCACCACCGACCTAGCAGGGGCACCGGGCACCACCAGCCCGCCAGGGGCACCACAGGCCTAGCAAGGGCACCACGGGCCTGTGAGGGGCCCCGCAGGCTTGTCAGGGGCACCCCAGGTCTGTCAGGGACACCAGAGACCTGCCAGGGGCACCACCGGCCTCGCAGGGGCACCATGGGTCTGTCAGGGGCACCAGAGGCCTAGCAGGGGTACCATAGGCCTTACAGGGGCACCACCGGCCTTGCAGGGGCACCTTGGGCCTGTCAGGGGCACCATAGTCCTGTCAGGGCCCAGGGGCACCAGCGGCCTAGCAGGGGTATCACAGGCCTGCCAGGGGCACCACCGGTCTAGCAGGGACACCACCGGCCTCGCAGGGGCACCATGGGCCTGTCAGAGGCCCCACCGGCCTCGCAGGGGCACCACCGGCCTCGCAGGCATCACGGCATCACGCAGGGGCACCTTGGGCCTGTCGGGGGCATCACGGGTCTGTTGGGGGCACTTTAGGCTTGTCAGGGGCATCACAGTCCTGTCAGGTCCCAGGGGCATCAGCAGCCTAGCAGGGGCACCCTAGGCCCGCCAGAGGCACCACAGGCCTGCCAGGGTCCAGGGGCACCACGGGCCTGCTGTCAGGGGCACCTCAGGCTCCCGTGCCCCCCCCCCCCCTGGATCCGCCAGTGATGCCACACCACGCGAAACACCGCCAACAGACGCCAACTACCAGCTGCCGCGCCATAAACACGTGCCAACCAGTCTTTTTTTGAAGGTGGCAACTCCGCTCGCGCAACTTTTGACTGACCCTCACTGCTACCATATTGCCTCCATATTATGCTGTGGAAAGCTTTTCTTCACCAAGTGGCTAAAAACCTCCATCAAGGTGTATTTTCTTAGCAATTTTTCTGACGTTTTGGGGGGGGCCAAACAGGCCACTTTAGGCCTTTGGGGGGGGCCATGGCCCTAAATGCCCCCCCCTGGATCCGCCAGTGCAATATCGTCTCCCCGGACTTATTTAAAGTTAACCGATGGCACACTGTCCCATAGAAGATAGAATATGACCAGACTTATGCACTGCTCGTTTCGGTCTGTCTGCCGCAGCCACGTTGATCATGTCCCTGTCCTGTGTCTGCCTCCCAACATATAACAGCTACTCGTGGGTTGGTTGTTCTCCAATCATCCCAATGTCTGCCTGATCCTCATCAGCTCGAAGTCTTAGTATATTAGTGAGGTGTCCGGATAACGATCGTGTATGGTGGTCCCGTTATAGTTCCTACTTCATCAGGCTCATTTCATGCATGATGGGATACTAACTATCCCGCCTTGAGCTGTTTGGCGCTAATTGATATAAGTTTATTAAACTTAAGGCTCTTCAAGTCCAATTGCTAAAGCTCAGACACATTCATCAGTTTACGTCGCTGGCTTGCTTAATCAGCCATAATTAACAATTAAAACTCGTTCCTTTTGGTGCGAAACAGAGCAAGCATATGACTGTGCTAGTACTTGTCCTTGTGTCTGAAATTTATGGGTATGCTAAATTCAGAACGTTCTCAGAACTAGAAGTGTATTTTAGTGTATTTGTGTCGTACATTTTCGATATCGAGGAGCGGCGACACGGCTGTAAATGGTCTCGGTGCTGTTTTCCGCCACTGTGTGCCGATCTCCGATGCACCCCGCGGGAGGTGCGCCACGGTACGGGCGTGCCGCGCCACAAATTGGCCCAAATAATTCAGTGCCCGCTGCCGGTGCCGATGAGCTACTGCGGCGCCCTTCTGTGCCGGGTGTGCCGGGTGGGCACAGAGGTCAGTGAGGGGCACGGCGCCGACCGAACGCCGGGAGCCAATACATGACACTCCGCCGTGACCTACCTGTCATACCGGCGACCCACGGCGGGTCCTTATGGCGTTTGTGTCGTTGGCTGTATACACGTATACCGCGCATTTGGGGCTCAGCATATCGCCCGACCTGGCTACGCCCGTCTTCACTCTCTTGCGTTTCCATGCAAGTTTTTATGTGAATGGAGACTTTCGAGCAGCAGTGTCATTCAGTACTTTACCACTCGTAACATTCCCCCTTTGGTCGCCTGCGCTTTTCTCTTGCTTCTGCCGTCACTAGAGCAAGCTAGTTTGGTCGTCTCAGTGGGGATAATTTCATCCGGCACTG